CAAAAACAGGATCGAGACCATCCTATGCTAAAGATACCAAAGAAAACATCCCATTCTTGCAAAGAATACAAGGAGATATATGTGGACCCATCCATCCAGAATGCGGACCATTCAGATACTTTATGGTTCTGGTGGATGCATCGACCCGTTGGTCACACGTTGCTTTACTGTCCACACGGAACGCTGCATTCGCAAAGCTCCTAGCACAGATAATCCGTTTAAGGGCTCACCACCCTGATTATCCTATTAAGTCAATAAGACTTGACAATGCTGGAGAATTTACATCAAAGACTTTTGATGAATATTGCATGTCCATTGGGATCGATGTAGAGCATCCTGTTCCCCTTGTACATACACAAAATGGTCTCGCAGAAGCTACAATCAAAAGACTACAAATGATAGCTAGGGCATTGGTTATGCGCACCAACTTGCCCATATCTGCATGGGGATATGCAATATTACATGCAGCGACACTTATTCGCTTTAGACCCACCGCAAACCAACCATTTTCTGCGTACCAGTTGGTCACTGGATATGAGCCTGACATTTCACATCTACGCATATTTGGTTCTGCAGTATATGTGCCGATTGCGCCCCCACAGCGTACTAAAATGGGTCCTCAAAGGCGATTGGGTATATATGTTGGGTACGAATCTCCAACAATCATCCGTTATTTAGAACCTTTGATAGGCGATCTTTTTACCGCACGATTTGCGGATTGTCACTTTGATGAGACAACATTCCCGTCGTTAGGGGGAGATAGGAAAACGAACTTTCCGAAGGAACGACAGGAATTGACCTGGTGCGTTCCAACCTTGTCTCACTTTGATCCCCGCACTTCACAATGTGAAGGTGAAGTGAAAAGAATAATCGATCTCCAAAATGTAGCAGACTCTATGCCTGATTCATTTACGGACATCGCTAAAGTGACAAGATCACACATACCAGCAGCAAATGTGCCTGCAAGGTTAGATATCCCCAAAAGAGGGAATAGTGCCATGGTAGGAGGCACTACAACCACACTTAGTGGAGGTGTGGTTGAGGCCGTGGCTTCTCAAAGGAAGAGAGGAAGGCCACTTGGTTCGATTGATACTCGCTCAAGGAAGAGAAGGACGAGTACGGCACAACCTGATCCATTGATCATCGATGTAGAACACCCCTCCCATGAGATTATCTCCGATTACAGTTATGTCCACGAATCATTACTGGAGGACGCTCCGATGTTTGATATGATTCTAGAGAATCGAGAAATCTCAATGGATAGTGAAAATGCACATGTGCTAATGGAAAGATCTTTCATACACATCGATGATATATTTGCATTTACCGTTGCTCAAGAAATTATAGAGCATGATGATATCGAACCACGCTCTATTGCAGAATGTCAACAAAGAGCGGAGTGGCCTAAATGGAAAGAAGCAATCCAGGTAGAACTAGATTCTCTGACAAAAAGACAGGTATTTGGTCCGGTAGTGCTAACCCCACCAAGTGTAAAGCCTGTAGGACATAAATGGGTATTTGTCAGAAAGCGAAATGAGAAGAATGAAGTCTTAAGGTACAAGGCTCGACTCGTGGCGCAAGGTTTCTCACAACGCCCTGGGATTGACTATGAGGAGACCTACTCTCCCGTAATGGACGTTATAACGTTTCGATACCTAGTTAGTTTAGCAGTTTCCGAAGGACTGGAGATGCAACTAATGGATGTGGTTACTGCATATCTCTATGGGGATCTTAATTCAGAGATATATATGCAAGTGCCTGAAGGACTTTTACTACCCAAATCAAGTGACTCTAAACCACGGAGTGCGTTTGCAATCAAATTGAAGCGCTCACTTTACGGATTAAAACAATCCGGGCGGATGTGGTATACCCGTCTAAGTGACTACTTGATTGGGAAGGGATATAAGAACGATGAACTATGCCCCTGCGTATTCATTAAGAAAACAAGTTCCGGATTCGCAATTGTGGCTGTATATGTTGACGATATGAACATAATTGGTACTCTTGATGAAATTAGAGAAACTGCCAGCCATCTGAAATCTGAATTTGAGATGAAAGACCTTGGGAAAACTCGATTCTGTCTAGGCCTTGAGCTAGAACATCGAGTTTGTGGAGTATTAATCCACCAGTCCGCGTATATCCAAAAGATGCTCAGGCGATTTAATATGGATAAAGTGCACCCTGCTAGCACTCCCATGGTTGGTCGAAGTTTAGATCCTAAAAAGGATCCATTTCGTCCAACGGAAGATGACGAAGAAGCACTCGGAGCTGAAATTCCCTATCTAAGTGCAATAGGCGCATTATTGTACTTGGCACAGTGCACTCGACCAGATATAGCATTCTCAGTGAACTTGTTAGCTAGGTTTAGCTCCGCGCCAACGCAACGTCACTGGAATGGTATCAAAAATATTTTTCGATATCTAAAAGGAACTAGTGACTTGGGACTGTTCTTTCCCTACAGAGAGACAAAGAAAACCACAAATGAAATTGTGGTTACTAAAGAAAATACCAAAGACAAAAGGATCACCCCTTATATGGAAACTCCAAATGATGTCTTGGTAGGTTTTGCTGATGCTGGGTATCTCTCTGACCCTCACAAAGGCCGCTCTCAAACTGGTTATGTTTTCACTATTGGGAACACGGCAATATCTTGGAGATCAACTAAACAAACCCTTGTGGCTACCTCCTCGAACCACTCCGAGATTATCGCTCTACACGAAGCAGTTCGTGAGTGTATATGGTTAAGAGGTATCATTACACATATTCGAGAAACTAGTGGTTTAAAATCTACCACTGAAGGGCCTACTTGCATTTATGAAGATAATGCAGCTTGTATTGAACAAATGAAGTTGGGATATATCAAGGGTGATAACACAAAACACATATCTCCAAAGTTTTTCTACAATAAGCAACAACAGGCTCTCCTCAAGATTCAAGTGAATCAAATAAGCTCGGAAGAAAACGTAGCAGACTTGTTTACCAAGTCATTACCCAAAGCCACTTTTGAGAAACATGTAAAGAACATAGGAATGCGAAAACTTTCCGAACTTCCCTGATTAATGTAAATATCAGGGGGAGGTGTAGACTTTAGGGGGAGTCTTACACCTACGCGTTACACTCTTTTCCTTAAACCAAGGTTTATTTTTCCCACTGGGTTTTGTTACTTGGCAAGGTTTTTAATGAGGTAACGGTACACGTTGATCAAAGTAAGGATCAAACAAAGGACTCAATGAACGAAGTTTGACACGGTTCGCATAATGCTTTCTTTCTGTCAAGGTTATTTTTTTCCCACAGGGTTTTTGTTACTTGACGAAGTTCCTACACGACAACTAGCTTGGTGTGTATCATTCTATCTACAACTCAGCACAAGGGGGAGTGTTGAAGGAAATTACCTTTAATGTGCATTCGTTATAGATAGAAAGTATGTCTAGGGTTTTTATATGTATTAAGCTAATTGGCCCATTGGCCCATCTCTTGTACACCCTAGTTTTCTCCTATTTAAAGGAGGCTTGCTTAATGGAATAAGACACAACCTTCACTTCCCTACAACAAGCAGATTTTTTTGATCAATTCTTTCTAATCTATTATTCACTAATAGATTTATGTATACCTTAATCAGCAATCACATCATCGATTAGAATTGAATTAAATACAAGATAGTTTTGACCTTTTATTTTTTCATTAGATGTTTTGAAGAATCTCCATTTGGTATTACAAATTTTAACATAATTATCCTAACAAATTAAACAACATAATCATATACTACCTCCGTAACGTAAATATCTTCCCACTTTCCTTATTTGGACGTAACATTAATATCTTCCCATTTCTAATTCTTCCCATTATACCCTCAATAATTTTAAAAATAATACACTATTACACCTACTTTTTTTGGATTTATCCTTCGTTCCATCACATTATTTCACTATCTTCCCATCATACCCCTAATAATACATATCTCCTTTCACTATTCTTAATCTACCTACTTTTCAAATGGGAACATCCCAATGTTACGGAGGTAGTACTCCGTAATAAATAGCCTTGAGCTATGAAACACGGATACTTCCCTAGGGTAGCGTATCGGCGTATCCGATACGTTCCCGTATCCGATACTCTAGGATACCCGTACCGTACGTTCCCGAGCCGTATCTGCAATTTTTAAAAGTTTCCATTTTTTTATAATTCTTTGAAAGTTTCCGATACTCGTATCCTGACGAATACCCGTATCAACTTTTTTTTAAAAAAAAATCCCAAAATTTACTTAATAAAATTCTAAAAAAAAAATGAAAATCTAAAACTACATTTTACTTGGTAATCAAATAATGGGCTTATATGGCTATATCCGAATTGAGTCATTAACTCATACTCCGAATTGGGTAATTGCACTTTTAATTTCAAGATTGTAGCTGTTTGACTTATTTCTCATTTTAAATTAATGACTTATTGACTACATTTATATTTCGAGATACACTAGTGTATATGAGAAATATTATGAATTTATTACTAAGTATCTTGAAAAAGGAAAATGTTTCAATGCAATGAATGGGTAGACATCATAGGATATTATATGTATGTATATATATATATTCAAAAAAAAAATCTATTTTTAATATTTGTAAATACACCCCTATAACTTTTAATATTTGTAAATACACCCCCATAACTTTTAATATTTATAAATATGGCCCCGTATCCGTATCCTACTTTTTTTGGTTTTGACGTATCCCCGTACCCGTTTCCGTGTTTCCGCGTTTCCGCGTACCGGTATCGGTGCTACATAGGCCTTGAGTTATATATAGATAGTATTTAATAATTAATAACTAAATTCACAATTTTCCTTTTACCATAAAAAACTAAACTCACAAATTTCCTTAACAAATACTCCGTATGAACTAAAAGAAATAAGAACAGGTTCGGAGGTTTCAGTCAACAACCACCCACTTCAACAACACATACAAATATTGAATTACATTAAACAAAAGAAGAAAAGATAACATTACCTTCTCAAATGCACAGAAGCGAGCAACGCAGGTCTTCCATTTGCCGGCATCCAACGCGGTCCAGCACAGAACCGGCGCGCGGCGGTAAAATTTCGAATCATCAATCGATTCAGTCTTTCTCACTTCCTCCTCCCAGCCTCTTTGATTTTTGGGTTCTGTTGCGGAGCGTATTAAATGTAAATTTATTGGACTAATATTAATGGGATGTCGTTTATTAACAATTGAAAGTCGTTTTACTTTAATTTTTTTCCCCTTTTTAACTTCCTCAAACGATGTCGTTCAACTAAATGATTTTTTTTAAAATCTTAGTTCGTACGGAGTACTTTTTATCAGCAGCACCAGAGGAGAAGTCAGGGGCGCCGGAAGATGGAAGAAGGGTTCAGGGGCACCGGCAATGACAATACCTATACATACCTTAACTACTCCGGCGAAGGGGGAGCGGCCTAGTTCCGCCGCTGATGGGGGTACAAATTGAGATATCAAATTGGGGTACTTTATCATTTTTCTAATCGTTAACAAAAGTTGAAGGCTACCATATTTGAAAAGTCCTAGCCGGCTTCCTTTTTTACGCGTACATATAACGAATCTATCCAACACTGCTGCTGCTTATATAAATAACTGGGACCATCCGCCTGTGAAATAATGAAACAGGATACTCTCTAAGGAGTCCTGGCAGATATATTTATACTATAAGAGTTTTATGTTAAGTACAAGAGTATCTCTATTATAATTCTATTACACCCCCTCAAGCTGTGCGGGAGAAACAACGCGCAGGTTGTCCTTTAAAAAATGAAAACGCTGACTAGGGAGACTTTTTGTAAAAATATCTGCCAACTGTAGATGTGTAGGAACATGTCGAACAATCAAATCTCCATGAGCAACTCGTTCACGAACAAAATGATAATCAATCTGAATATGCTTGCTCCTAGCATGCTGTACTGGATTTGCAGTCAAATAAGAGGCTGAAATATTATCACATAAGAGATGAACAGGTTCGTGGATAGGATAACCAAGCTCAAACAAAACAGATCGGATATGTAGCGTGTCTTGGACAGTGTAAGCAATAGCGCGGTACTCAGCTTCAGTGGAGGACTTGGACACCGTAGGCTGCTTTTTAGACTTCCAAGAAATTAAATTGGGACCTAAAAAGACAGCAAAACCTGTGGTAGAGCGTGAGCTATCCGGACAGCCAGCCCAATCAGCATCTGAGTAAGCTAAAACACAGGTAGGCCGATCTGAATGTTGAAGCCACAAACCATGATCACGCGTACCCTGCAAATACCTGAAAATTCTCTTGACTGCAAAAAGATGAGTAGTACGGGGGGCATGCATGAACTGAGACACTAAATGTACTGCATAAGTAATATCCGGCCTTGTCAAAGTTAAATACTGTAACGCACCTACCATACTACGATACTCAGTAGAATCTACAAGTAACTCACCATCAGAGAGAGACAGAGTGGTACGAGAGGCTAAAGGGGTGCGAACAGGCTTAACAGTATGCAGATGAAACCGAGCCAGAAGATCTGTTACATATTTATTTTGAGAGAGAAAGAGACCCTTAGGAGAACGAGATGCCTCAATGCCTAAGAAATAATGTAAGTTACCCAGATCCTTCATAGCAAAATGATTAGAAATAACAGATATAAACTCGGTAATAGTAGACTCAGAATTGCCAGTAATAATAATATCATCTACATATAGTAATAAATAAATAATATTATTATTCTGGCGATAAATAAATAGTGAATTATCAGACTTACTACACACAAAATTATGTTGAAGAAGAAAACTACTAAAACGATGAAACCATGCCCGTGGTGCTTGCTTAAGGCCATAAATAGCCTTACGCAAACGACACATATGAGTAGGAAAATTAGGATGAATAAAACCACGGGGCTGACGCATGTATACTTCCTCTGTCAAGTGACCATGCAGAAAGGCATTCTTAACATCAAGTTGACGAATTACCCACCGAAAAGAAACAGCTAAAGTGAGAACAATGCGAACTGTGGTAGGTTTAATGACAGGACTAAATGTTTCAGAAAAATCAATACCAGCCTGTTGATTAAAACCTTGAGCAACTAACCGAGCCTTATGGCGCTCAACTGACCCATCCGAGTGATATTTTGTCTTATAAATCCACTTACAACCTACAATATTTTTAGAGTTGTCAAAGGGCACCAAGTCCCAAGTTTTATTATTAATGAGTGCATTAAATTCATCGGCCATGGCCTCTCGCCACTTTAAAAGTTTATTAGCCTCAGTAAAACAAGTAGGATCTGCAGGAACAACAATTGTACTGAGATTAAAAATAGCTTTAGGCTTAAAAATTCCTGCCTTGGAGCGGGTTTGCATAGGGTGCTGATTACCAAGTGTAGTGGACACAATTGGAGTGGACGAAGAGGGAATGGCGGCGGTCTGGACCATATCTGGTTGTATACCGTCGATGGGAAGAATATCGGCCGTAGGAGCCGCGGCCGAGGGAGGGGAAGGCGAGCTGGCAGTCGGCTGGGAAGGAGTAGAGCGAACCGAGGAGTAGGATGAGGGAGGGATATCAGGTGCGGCAGGCTGTTTGTGAGGAGTATGAGGTGAAGAAGGTGAACCGGACATAGTGGACACTGAGGAAGAGGAAGCTGGAGTGAAGCGAGACAGGGAGGATGACGGAGAGGGATTCGAAGGTAAGTCAGTAGTATCGGTGAGAGACATCGGGCATGGTGTGAGTCGTGGTGGTGAGGAAGAACTAGATTTCTTAAGAGTTTGAAAGGGATAAATATCCTCATGGAACCTAACGTGGCGACTGATATAAACACGACCTGTGATAGGATCAAAACAACGGTAGCCCTTGTAACCAGATGCATAGCCAAGAAAAACACATTGAACAGAGCGGGGTGAAAGTTTATTGGTAGAAGTAGCTGAAAAATTTGGGTAACAGGCCGAACCAAAGACACGCATAAATGAATAATCAGGAATACGATGAAATAGTCTTTGGTACGGAGATAAACCATTTAGTGTAGGAGAAGGTAATCTGTTAATGATGTATGCAGCAGTAAAAAGTGCATCAACCCAGTATTGATTCGGCATAGATGCTTCAAGTAGCATAGTGCGAGTCAATTCAAGGAGATGACGATGCTTTCTCTCAGCAACACCATTTTGTTGAGGTGTGTCAGGACAAGATTTTTGAAAATAAATTCCATGTGATGAGAGAAATTGCTGCATATTATGATTAACAAATTCACCCCCTCCATCACTTTGAAAGATTTTAATTTTCTGATTAAACAGATTTTCAACCAAAGCTTTAAAATTTTTAAAATGCATAAAAACTTCACTCTTAAGGCGCATTGGATATATCCAGGTAAAGCGAGAGTAATCATCAATAAAGCAAACATAATACTTGAACCCCAAATTAGAAAGAACAGGAGATTGCCATACATCAGAATGAATAATTTGTAATGGACAATGTGAAAAATGACTAGCATCCACAAAGGGCAAACGTTGTGATTTGCCTAAACGACAAGCCACACACTCATGTGTAAACGGAGAATGACTACATAAAAATTGTTTACGTTTAAGAAACTGTAAAATATTGTCACCACAATGACCTAGTCTACGGTGCCACACAGGGCCAGAGGCTAAGACAGAAGCTAGAACTAAGGATGAAGATGGTGACGATGGCAGGCTGATGGGATAGAGTGGTCCACTACTGGTAGCTTGAAGAAGCACCGCCCCCGAGGCTTTGTCCTTAATAAAAAAAGAATTTTTATCAAAAATTACAGTACAATTGTTATCTGCGCAAAGCCGTTGAATAGAAATTAAATTATATTTTAATTGAGGCACATGATAAACAGATTTTAATGTGAGAGGACGACCAGTAGAAGGTAAGGCAACATCACCAATATGAGAAATGGGTAAATGGGCACCATTAGCAACACTAACCGAATTATAGCCATTGTAAACAGACTTATTAGACAAAATACCTTCAGATGCAGTCATATGAGCCGAAGCGCCAGAGTCAGGATACCATAAAGCTGAATTAGCTTCCCCCGGAGTGGTCAACAAAGCTGGAGCTGACGGTTGAGAAAAACGAGATGGGCATGTGATGGCGGAATGACCTACAGAAAAACAGATTTGACACACAACAGGATGGGGAACAGCCCCAAGAATACTTCCTTCTGATGATGAGCCTGCAGAACTAATGTTAGTAATCGAAATAGGCAAAGCATTAGTATTTAAATGTGACAAAGTAGAATTACAAATAACAGTACCCGTAGGCTGCCCTCCCCCGGAATGTGTAGTAGTCCCAACCGACGGCTGCGGTACACCCCCTCCAGGAGTATAAAACTGATGTCCCTGTGGTGGATACCCGAATGGAGTCGGATACCCGAACTGTCCGTGGTGTACGAACGGACCCTGCTGCCCGCGTCCGCGACCTCGTCCTCGCCCGCGGCCTCGCCCTCGACCACGGCCACGCTGCGGTGGCTGCTGCTGAGCTGGATATCGGGACGGTGGTTGCTGTCCGGGCTGTTGTTGCGAAACCTGCTGCGAGGCAGATGGAGAACCGGAGTGGGGAGCAAAAGTAGCAAAGGCTTGATGCATGGACGATGATTCCTGGGATCGGAGATATAGTACCCGCTGTTCTAACTCAAGGAGATGATTACGGAGTGTTTCAAACGGGAAGTTTTGAGGAAACAGCGAGACAGTGGTATATAAAGATTCATACTCCGGACCTAGCCCCATAATAGTAGTTTTAAGCAGCTCTCGGGACGACACCGGGCAATTAATTGTAGCAAGATCATCAAACAAAGTTTTTATCTCCCTTAAGTAACTATCCATGGATTGGTCAGGTTTCTTTTTAACTTGTGAGAACAACCTCTTTAATTCCATAGATCTAGCTAAACTAGCGGACATAAATCGAGATTCTAACCGTTCCCAAATTTGATAAGAATGCTTCAAATCCCGAACATCAATAAGAACATCGCGAGACAAAGTAGCAAATAACCAAGAACGAATTGTTTGATCGATTCTTAGCCATAGTGAAAATTCGGGATTGGGAGATGGACGGTTTAGAATATCTATGGAATGAGAAGGAGGTACCGGAATAGAGCCATCTACCATTCCAAGAAGTGCTTGCGAGACAAGAAAAGATTCAAACTGGGTTCGCCAAGTGGTGTAATCTTCAACCGCAAGAAGCTTGGTAGTGACAATATTTGTGACATTAGTGGCCACATGAGAGATAGAGGAGGCTAAATCAGCCAGCGGGGAAGCAGTTGTAATGCCGACAGGTGTTCTCGGTGGTGGTAAAGCGGACGTCACCCCCGGAGAGCCAACGAACGTAGTGCCGGCGTAGGATCCAGGCGAGAAGGGTGGAGGATCCAATGAGGTGTGTTGCACCGGCGTTGGGGCTGGCCAAGAGAAAGGTGGCGGCATATGCTGAAAGAGAGAGTATGTCCCAGCAGGTCGGTTTGGCGAAGCAAAATTGGAAGCCGACGTAACAGAACTGATGACCGGTTGAGAACCAGAGAAAAGAGGAGCACCGGTGGGTGGGGGTGGGTTGAAGACCGCTGCA